CAGAGCAAGTCTCGACTTTACAACATAAATCGATACGGTTCTTACAGAGAGAAAATCAAAGTACATAACTCAAGAATGTTAGGCGTTATTAACGTTCTCCAGGACTTCAGCGCACTTCAAAATGCCATACTGCTTCTCCATCGTTGCCTGTTATCGTCATGGTCGCCATAGTCTCGATTGGCTACTTCAGCATCTCTCTAGAATAATAATATTGGCTACCATGTGCCGTTTGTTAACGTAACTCTACCTACCTGCATTCTATGTAATCTTCTAGCCATTGGACCCATGTCTTGTCGTGGTGAAATTTCTTACCGACGATCTTCTAGGTGTGTACAGGATTGGGATTTCATGACCTGAGCACATTTTGATGAATTTACTTGCTCACCATACCTGCTTCCCCCTCAAGACGCTTTTTTAAAAGGTATTACCACTCTCGAGTTTTCTGTGCCACACAGGTTCATTGTAATAAACAATTTATTCGGCCTTACGTCTCTGCAACAACGTCTTTCTCAGATGCTCACATTAAGTCAGTAATCCAATTTCATACTTTACACGGCTATGCTTCTCCGAACTTGCCTATTCGATTCACTGAAAATGAATACATCCGTACTTTCGGGTCAGTGACACACCAAAAGCACATGGAACAATCGATCTGACACTGCTTTGTTCACCAACTAAGGACAAAAGGAAAGGATGCCGTCCTACTATATGATCTGCTCAAAGTGGCGGGAATGTATTAGGGTGATCCAAAAGTAATGGGGCACCTAGAGAACAAATGCAGTTTTCTCAAAGAGAAAAGCTAATTGGAAGTCCCAGACGTTGGTACATAACAAAAGCTTCTGATCAAGGTCTACAGTTGGGCACTGTCACATGTCATATTTTTATAAGCGCTTAAAATTAGGGCTCATCACTTCATGTAATTTTGAACTTTGAGCAGCAGCGCCGCAGTAGAACAAGTGAGCCTACCAAAGATACCTGCGCAGCAATGGTGAGGGGACCGTCACCAAATCCACGATAGCTCGGTGGTCTCAAGGTTTTAGAACAGAAGATATAGCATTGGGTATGAGGAGACATATTACTTATTTTTTCCTCTAGGTAAACAAGTAAGCTCAACTTTGACAGCTGCTTTCTGATAGTGCTTTTTACGTTCTATCCACACACATGCAAATTACATCGACTTTTCTCATTTCCAAAAAATGTGGGCCAAAACATGAATTTTAGTTTGAAATTCTGCGCCAAGCACCGCACTTTTTCGAATAAAGTGCTTCTTTTGCATGAAATAATGGAAATTTTTTGAATATCCGAGTGATCATTAGAAAGAGCTTGGAAAGCTCTTTCGAATGGTATGCCAGATGTCGAGGGACTTTCAGGTGCAGCAGCACAAATTCGGATGATGTTCAAAAAAGCCTGTCTGAATTCTTTGAAGCGCCGCTCGAAGAAATGTCGGTGAGGTGCTGCAAGGTGCTGCCAAGATAACCTGCGAAGGTCACTTTACACTTTATACAGAAGCGTTCGAATTGCTGGTTGTTCATAGCTAATCAGAAAGAGATCTTGAAGAATGTTAAAAAAATCAAGGTGCCCCATTACTTTTGAATCACCCTAATATATGTTGGAAGAATGAAAAGAACGGTATCAGATTATTAGTGACCAGTGCGTCGCCTCTGCTTCGCAGAGGCTCGCACTGGCTCTACTATCTATGTGCCTTACTCATTCTCGTAAAATCGTGGCACTGGAACTCACCGCGCTATGCGACTACCATGAATAAAATGTAAACAGTCACTCATTTAGAAAGTTTTTCACGTGAGATCGGTGATTTCGCGTGGATGAAACTTTTCGCAGGAAGACAAACGCAAATTTGAATACGTCATGGCTTGGTAGTCGCCATAGAGGTAATAGTAGCCGTGAGCTACATCCCTGTGCAAAAATCTTCTCAAACGCCTAGCTAGAACCTTGGCAAATTGACCATTTACACAACCAATTCTTTTTGGCGCCGTTTTCGTTATGTAGTAAACTTTCGACCATTTCCCGGGCTAAGCTCCATCGCTTGCACATTTGCTTACCAAACTCATCCACAATTCTGCACAAAGTGGTTATACGGACCGAATTTTGCGGTACAGAAGCCAGGTGGATCCGTTTGGCGCGCAATTTCTGAGGGATCCACTCAACGAATTTACTCATGCTTTTGCATGTTGAACTTACATGAAGGTAGCATGCGCTATGCAAAATTTGGGCTTAGAGCGCTGGCGGGAACACGCTCCACGAATTTCGTAACAGACACACTCTCACACACACACAGACAGACACACACACACAGACAAACGTAAACAACCCTTAGCCCGTTATTATAAGTTATGATAGCAAGCTCGTTCTTCTCACTCATCTCAGATTCACCAAAAAAGATAAACGAGGCTTCCAACGCTTTGCTAGCAGATATCTTGCCCTTACAATAAGATGATTCAACATCGAATACTACCACCACGATCTATTCTTCTGTGTTTTCTCAGCGGAGTTGCTATATTCTCCCGTCTTTTACCAGCTAATGTGTTATTTACAAGCACAATTAGTGACCGACCAGTCTCACTAAGCTTGGCAATTTGAAGGCAATGGCTCAGCAAAATAGATTCTTGTCAGGTTTCGATAATGCTAGGTAGCAGACCTCTTTCCCTAAGTAACTGTAGCCCTCAACTCCAGCCCCCAAACATGCGCTAAATTGTGGAAAGACTCTTCAAAAGCACATCAGTCCAGTCGACTTCTACTGAGTGCGCGTCATAGGTGGATTTCTGAAGCGCCTTATCAAGACTCAACGCATAAATTGGGAAGTGGGCTGGGCCTACGATGCTTGGAGGGGGATGGGGAAAAGGGTCTACTATCTAACACTAATAAGGTATGTTCCAACTATGAATTTATATTTTTAAACCGTTCCAGATCACCTCATACGTATGCTTGAGCGGGGCGGGTAACGTAGGCTACCTTTCGCCACTGATCGAGATCGATTTTATCGATTGCAAAGCACCTACGAGGTTGAGATTTAGCACAGAGTTTAGGTTAGCATGCTGATTACGAAAATATCACTGACAAAGCCGGGCGGAGTAGGTTTGCCAGATGGTAAAACATATAGTCAAGTTTACACGAGAAGTTTGGCCGTATGAAGTAAAATTAGGTGAGTGACTTGCTTTTAATCCTTTGAGGAACGCATTGTTGCGGAAGGATAGGCCAAATAAATTTATTATGATGAACGTGCGTTTCAGAGATAACTGCTAAAGTCCGTAACAAAAGGCTCAAGTTGTATCAACAAAGAACATAAAATGCTTCAAGATTTCTCTCTCTTTTCCTTTGATAACTCGTGCTCCAGTGCCGCAGTAGTACTGCGAACGTTTCTACGGCGTAGATTCTCCTATTCTTCACGTTGCCTAGCACTGCCGCTGTCCTCTACTTTCGGAGGATCCATGCCAAAATAACATCCGGGCAGAGGCTTTGTATATTCTAGGCAAAGTACATATGAAAAATAAGTGTAGACGAACTTTGATAGTTGAATTGAGTAGCTTTCTCATTCTTTAGTTTCTTTTCTTCCTCTCTAATCCAGCTAAAATCGAGTCACTAGATTCATCACGAGCTTGCAAAGTAGACAGTGGTGATCGTGAACCAAAAGATGGCTGCATTTCAAACACAACGTCAATTTAAAGACTCAAAACTACCTTCTCATTTTCTCCTTCACTTTAATATTCAGAATGACGCCACTGAGTACAAACATTACATCCGAATTAAAGGCAGCGTCCAGGCAGATCTGGACCTATGGGGATTTTACGTAGTACTTTCGGGGCCCTAACTAAGACCCTGCCCAAGCGGCAGCGCAGGTAGTGCTCTAACGACTGAGATATTCCCCTCGAAACTGGACCCAGCGATCGTATTCGCATGGCAGTTTCGCGCCAGGACACACGCTTTGCGCCATGAATCCATGCGAAATACGATCGCGGAGTCCAGTTTCGAGGGGAATATCTCAGCCGTTAGGGCACTACCTGAGCTGCCGGTTGGGCAGTGGCTTAGTTAGGGCCCCAAAATTACTATCCACGTGAGATCTTCATGTGTCCAGACTTGCCTGGACGCTGCCTTTAAGTCAACTGATTGAAAATGTACGCCTATAGGGTAAACAAGTCAGATGTCCCGATATCCCGTGCTTTTATTGGGTAGACGAATAATTTCTGTTACACTCAAATTTGTGGCATTCTCGTTCTTTTGAATCACTTCCATTTCAGCGCAAATATTGAAGGCATTTGGTCTACTTTTGTAGATGTGTTATTCATGACGAACGATGGCAGCAAAACCAAAAATTGTTACGAAAATCAGCTAGAAGACATAGTTGATTATGGGATCAGAAAAAACAATGTTCTTTGTTGTAAATGAGAAATACGAAAGGTTTTGAAAATTTTAGTAGCGATATGAGGAGAAATTCTGATGTACATTCGCTTTTCTCATAGTTCACTTTGAGCAACCGAATGGAGTACTGGACGTCGAAAAAGCATTTTCAACCTGTGTCAATGACATGCTAACCACTCACATTCATCTCACAATGCTTACCTGTACAATCATAGAAGCCAACCTATATTTAGATCTAGCATAATGAAACCTTCCCGAAGTGGGCTTGACTCAAGATAGGAGCCATTGTAAAGAAAATAAAGCCTTTCGTCAGTGCGTTGATGATATGCCAATCGCTCACATTTATCTCACAATGCTCGCGTGTACATTCATGAAACCCGATGAGCGAGGTGAGTACGAAAAATTGGATCAAAGCAGATAACATGAAAAAGACAGTGATAGATCTGCCAAACTATAAGAAGTAATCCAAGCATGACCGCGTATGCCACTAGTTTGTAATAAGGAGCAAAGTTCAAATGTACGAAATTTCAAAGACTTTGTTATAAGATATATCCTTTAACCCGATAACATTGTTGCTCTTCCCTCACTTTCTTTTTCTACCCAACACACTCAGGCAAACTAGCAGATTACCTTGGCTTTGCATATGTATCATTATTGTTCAGCCAATCCTTATTATGATCGAATTTCTCTTGTCTATCTACTTTTTTTGTCCGTTGCACTTTGATCTCCACTGTTTTGGGCTTGTTCTAAATAAATCAACGATAATTATTGTTGTAGAGATAACTGCTGTACGACTTACCGGTTTAGCTGAATCCACAGATCGAATGTTGCTGCTAAGTGATGTACTATTATCGCTCAGTGGTGACATGTCTTCTGTTATTACATCATTGGAAAAATAAATCAATTTAGCAAACGATCTATGGGCTCAGGGGAGGTATAATATATTGTTGCTTTACTTTGCACTATTAGATAGCCAGAATCACAGAGAGAAAGATAAGCGAAAATGAGAGACGCAGACACAGAAAATAACTTTATTCACTTAAATTTAATATAGCATCCCTTAATGCAGGTTCACTCCGCAAAATTGGTTCTTTTTAACATTTTTCTCACCTCGAGGATCCCTTCTCAGTGGTTGGTCTCTCCGTTCATCTCCCGTACGTTCATCCGATATGGAAGTAACTGCTGATGACGTCATTGAGCCTGTTCCATGTACCGCATGCCCGGATGTAGTGGTGGTACTGTAATGATTTTTCTTCGCTGATGATGTCATCTTTCCCGTGCGAAAATTCTTACCTCACTGTCGATCTGCCCATATGGTCCATAGGTCGGAATTGGGAAGCTCCACGCCAATGATCTCGAAATCTCAAATCAGGCGGCGTCATCACGTGTACCCTGAAATTATAAGCTTATAAGTATGTCTAGTTTTAAACCTTGGCATGTTTTGTAGACATTCTTCAATAGTTTAAAGACGTAACAAGTTTTCAAAGAAACACTTCATTTGCTGCCCGACGTTTCGGCTAGTTGCCGTCTTGAGAGGCCTGAAAGCGAGTCAATCACTTTTTAAGTTTGTTCTATCTCATGGTCGCCCTCAGCAAATGATGACAAAATGAGCGTTCCGAATAAGTATGGCAGGGTTCATACTGAGCCGCACAAACCGGCACAGTTCCAGCACAGCGATCGAACAGTGCCGGAACTGTGCTGCATGCGCTGCAGACGCCCCGCACGCGTTTTGCGGCGGGAGTTGAAGAATTTTGACCGTTTTCAGCGGTTTTTCTTCCAGATTTCTCTCATTTGAGCCTTATTCCTCTACCCCGCTTCCCTTTTTGGTCAGAATAGCTTCGAACTCGAAGCGGGGTTAAAGAATGAGCGTTTCTGCTCTGCGTATGTGACGAAACGAGTGTTCTTGTGCTCGTTCATTTTCTCTTCGCTTTATTCTAAGTTTATTTCTACTTATTTTCTTCGTGCCCACGTCCATCTTCTCTTCCATTTCTGTTCAGGCCTACTTCATGTGTTCTGGAGACCTGTCTTTGTTCCTTTTGATACAGATGCGAGACCAGGCAGCGCCTTCCTAGAACACATGGAGTAGTTTGAGCAAAAATCACGGAGAGAGAATGGACGGCACACGAGGGCCCATCTTTTCGGATACATGGACAGAACAGCGTTCCACCCTCAACCGCTTCAAGTTCACAGCTTTTCTCATCTTGGAGAAGCGGGGTGGAAGAGAGAACGGAGAAGCCACAAAATGGAAAACGAAAAGGAGCTGAGAATGCCCAAAAACAAAACTCATCAGAAAACAAGAGGAAAGTCTCAATTATGCAACTTTAGAATTGCCCGTCTCCCTGATGGGCAATTCTAAAGTGGCAGATGCTATGGAAACATCACAACGGCTTCCTGAAACAAATGGAGTAGTTTTGAACAAAATTACGAAGAGAAAATGAACGAGCACAAGAATACACGTTTCGTCGCATACGCAGAGCAAAACAGCGCTTATTCCTCAACCCCGCTTCGAGTTCGAAGTTCTGACCAAAAAGGGAGCGTAGAGGAATAAGGCTCAAATGAGAGAAATCTGTAAGAAAAACCGTTGAGAACGGTCAATCCTTCAACTCCCGCCGTTCAGAACGCGTGCGGGGAGGCTTCAGCGCATGGGGTGGAGGACTATAGGTCGCCGAAAAAGGGCGGTCCCCGCGGTCATTCGCGACAAATATGCACCCTTGTACATGCGGACATGCGTTCCTGCAGGAAATCCGCGCGGGACTCCTCCAAATTCGGCGAGATATAGTCCTCCACCTAAGCGCATGCAGCACAGTTCCGGCACAGTTCGAGCACAGTTCGAGCGCTGTGCTGGAACTGTGCCGCTTTGTGCGGCTCAGTGTGAACGCAGCCTATGACACGCTTAAATAGTGCAGGCTACTCATAGCTTGTGACGAATCTTTCCGCTAACAAGTAGTGTGATATTACCAGTTTCGATATGTTGCAGGAAACTGTAGGTCGCGAGAGCGATGATACTAGCGTTTCCTTACGCGGAGCCAACTTTGATTGACACTACATTACTTTCAAACATTTCTGTGTGTCCGCCAAGATCAGACATGTTCGTTCTTGTTGTTCATTTTAGGATTACGAGCAAGTATGAATGAAGCCTCTGACGCTTTTCGAGCAGCGATATATTCTTCGACAGCCAAAATTCAATTTTCTCCCCCCCCCTTGAATTTTCTATCTCCCCCATTGGCTTCCGATGTTATGTACGTAAGCAATTGAAATCTTCGTCACGTCGCGCAAGCACGTAGTGACCGCTGTCTTACTGGTGCTATGAGGATAATTACCTTTGCCTTCCCCCCCCTCCTTCCCCGCATTTGTATAATCGTTTATCGATTGATTTTACAATAGGGTTAACGAGGTGAGGATGGGAGATTGAGCACAACTGTTTTCACTTTGATTCTCATAGCTCAGCAGGGGTAACGCTCGTCTAAACGTTTGATGACGGATCTCCAAACCTCAAAAGTTAGGTTGATTTGCGCAAAAGTGAAAGCCCTGCAATCTATGGGGAATTTTACTAAACGTCAACGACAGGTGGTGCCTTAAAGAGTAAACTGGATGGCCCTTTTTGCGCAGTTTTATAAGATTTCATAAAAAGTGGTGAGTACATGAAAAGAAAACTGATCCTCAATCCAGTTTCGGGGATATCTGTAGGAAGCAGAAGTAGTTTTCTGCAGCTTTTGATTGCTTCTGGCTTTTTCCTCCTCTAATCTGATCAAAATCGTATAGTGGAAGTGTATTCAAAGCATAAAAAAGTTAAAAACGATTCAAAAACTCTAGAGAATTTTTGAGCTTTGAAAAGTATCGTTTTGTAACTGCATGAAAATGAATCAAATTTGCCTCCATAAGGCGAAATGGTAAAGATGCGAACAAAAGCAAAGCAAATCCTGATTAACTCAATTTAATTACTAACGATCCTTCAACTCGAACATAGGAGAAGAATGTGTAAGACTGATGATATTGAGATTCTAGTAGAGCAAAAACAAATACAGGGTGTCTCAAAAAAACGTGCCTAGTGTTTGATTGTTAATAACTCTCTTGCAATGAAGTCGTTTGGAAGCTTTGGGTTGGTCTTCAACTTAGATTTACGGTATAGAGCAATTCACCAATTGCCCTTCATTACCGTAGGATTACCGTAGGTACTTTGGAGAGGTTTGAGCCAAAAAGGCTACATTTCGCCTAAAAAAGGAAACAAAACAACCTAAGAACTTTCACACGGGGCTAATTAGAATTGCTGATTTTTAGTGTGAAGTTTGCAACTTGCAACTGCATCATACTGTTTCATTAAAAAGTTACGCGAGGTAAGCAGTAGCGCCCATTTTTTCGATGTACCCAAAAAATGCGGTTACCCGTTTAGAAAGCTTCGCAATCTTGTAAATAGCTAGTATTAACCTCAGTGTCCATGAAAACCCTACTACAAGTTTTCACATTTTTTAAAATTATCTGAAACGGCAGCTTTTTTCACAGTGACACCTTAGACCTGAAGCCTCTACCGTAATCCTAGAGTAATGAAGAGCGATCGCCAATTCGCTCTATACCGTAACTAAGTGAAGCCAGCTCTACAGAACGGTGTTCAAAGCTTCCCGATATCCTTCGTTACAAGAGATCTATTAACAATCAAACATTAGGCACATTTTTTGGGGCACCCTGTATATTGAGATCCTGCTATAAAGCAAAAATATTCTATGACAATGCTCATTTTCTCATTTCAAGGCTTTAACAAACTACAAGATGTCCAGACAACAGACGATAACCTATGGTCTTGATTAATGGATCCATTTTTCTCGTAGCTAAAAAATTTTACCCTAAGTTCGAATATTTCTAATGGCAATGCGCCATAATATTCACAAGAACGAATTAATATTCAGCAAAATCAAAATCTAGAGTCAAAACAAGCGCGACTTCGTTCCTTCGCAGTAAAAACGTGAAATTCTAGCGCCGTTTTAATTTGTTTCTGTTTTCAGCTCTACTTTTGCTCCTGCTAGAATCCCCGTTTCTCCCGAAAAATATTATGTTAAAAATGAATTTTTTTTACGCTTCGGAATGTGACATCATGATTCCATTGAGGGCGCGTAGGCGTCATCATCGAATGTTTTATGCTTGTCTCCGCGCCGCGAGCCACGCCGCTGATATCTCACGAACTGGTTGCGCGCGCCTGTGCGCGCGCTCAATTGTGTCAACGACCACGCAGCCAACGGGCAGTTCCTGAAGTTCATATGGACTTTCTGGATATCGGGTTTATCGCTCACAGAATTACCAATTATCAATTGCGAGTTATGAAAATTTTTGCGCTTGTTACGCATGAGAGATTTTTCCGCACTCTCAGGAATTTTTTTCTACCTGTAAATTGACACAGATCCACTCCGATGACTGAAAAGTCAGTAAAAAACTCTGGCGCCATGTAATGCTTCCGTGCGCTTTTTGTTTGCACTTTCAATGTCTGCTTACGCACTTTTGCGGATTTTTTTCTAGTGTGGCTGCTCACGTCAACGCTTTCTTCGGCGCATTGCTTCACGCCACTTCCTTTATTGCCACTTTGCTCATGTCCCGCACCGATATTTGAAGAGCTATTTTTTTAGCAGCTTCACAGGAGCGGGGCAGGGAGTAGAGAAGGAATTTGCTTCCATTACCACGCACTGAACCGAGGACTACAAAATGCTTGAAAATGACGATAACTGTTGCTCTGAACTCTCTCAAGCTCACAAACTCTCTCATCAAACCCATAGAACTGAGCCACTACGTAACCGCAGGTAGGACGAACTGGAATACTGCGACGATGTCTCGACACCGCTAGACACTTCCTGTGATGATGCCTGTCAGCTAATAACATCTTCTTCCCTTTCAGGCGGGGGAGAGGGGGGGGGAGTAAAAAACTGGATACGGTGCGCACGTTAGCGGATTTCCTCCTGATTGACACATGAATCGCGATGCAACAATTAACTAGTCACTTTGAATTGCAAACAACTAACTAGTGGGTATTTTTGCCCGTATACCTCTACCGGGTAAGCTCCTTTTCATTTCAATGAGTAGAAAGGTCAGAGCTAGTCAACTTTGTTCATAAAGGTAGTTACATCCTAAACGCGCAGTAGCATGTCCCAATAAAAACTTTCGCTGTCACCTCTCACCTTCCCCACCCCCCCCCCCCCTCCCCGCTCTCCTTCCGTCCGTACAGTGGGGAGGATTTGAAGGTTTAAGACGAACATGATGTAATTTTTTCTCTTTGATGATGAAAATAATGTTTGAATCACGTCTGAATTGGTTTTTCATCAATCTCCCAATCGGACGATGGGCACTCCTTTATAACGGTTGAACAATTCCCAATCAGAGGTCGGGAGACTGATAAGTACTA